TTACGGCCAACTCGTTTTGTTAGTCGGTTAGCGCGGTCGGATCAGTAAGCTTAGGGACGTCAAACTGTTTGCACCTCATCTTTTTGTGGTCATCAAATCGCATAGACAACTTGGCACAAACCATTATGTAGCCGGAGTCCAAGCAGGTAGACCAATACGGACGGCTCCACCACGATGACACTGCACCTTGATGTGGTGTGATGGCTTGTGCATCTCTATGACCCAAAGATCTACACAGAATGCCTTTTATTAAGCCAGGAGATCATATGATGCCTGGAGGGTCGAAGGTTAGAGATCAGACAAAGTTCAGTCTCCTGGTCCTCCAGGTTTGGGGTTCGACTCGAGTTAGCGTCTCAGTCGGTAAATGGTAGAGGAATAATCGATTCAAGTAAAGGGGCCTCTACTTCGCTTGCGGGTCAAGGTTAAAGGATTGTGGGTCGAGGCCAAAGCATTGCGGGTTTTGTCTAAAGGATTACAGATCGAGCTTAAGGGACTGCGGGTTTGGCTAAAGCTTGATGGCAAAAGGTGTAGTTTACTTGCATTTTGTATCTGTCTAGTTGGTCCACTAGATGAGTACTTGAAGTTTGTTAACCAAAACCGTTACACTAAAGTGCAGGGTCAGTGGGGATTGTTTAAAATGAGACTAAAGTTTAACGCATTAATTTACTAACTCAGGAGAGCCTGACGGAACGTGTACATAGAACGCCAACCGAATCCTTTGTAGCGGATCCATAAAACGAGCTCATGGTTGAAAGATGATCTCTGACTGCTTTTGTGGGCAAAACTGACTTCCTGGTCTACATGTGTTTGCAAATATGAGCTGGGTGACTGCATCAGGCCTGAGCACCGAACCCTTTTAACTATCTTTGCAGGTGGATAACGACTTGGTACATGAGTCAAAAAGTCAAGCGCTTCTGTATTTCAGTATTTTGCGATCAATATCACTGATTTCTCTCCTTTACCATACAGGTAAATATAATGGAGAAAATATAGGAAAGGTGGTACTCCTCTCCGGTATTCACGTGGGTTATTTTCGTCAAGCATTTAGCTGGCTCCGTCATGCTACTTCCTACCTCCGTGAATGCGCANCTTCTCTATCGTTGTCTTTGTTTAGCACATTCTCAGTTTACACGAATCTACTCTTATACATCGAGTTCTGTCGTATAGTTTCCAGCATTTTGTTTAATGTTTGTAGTGTCATCGTTCATTCGAAATTTGAGACTTCTTTGAACCCGTGCTAGGCGGGTATGCAGGTATGTGTGCAAATGTACCACAGGCTTCGCTGCTAACTGGCAACATACACGCACACAATTCCGTCTGTTCCCTATTCTCATCCTCCCAATCAGGCAACCGGTGAACAAACACACATTTCGCATGTACCGTGTCCTCGGCAAAGGCGGTTTCGGTGAGGTGTGTGCCTGTCAAGTTCGCGCGACCGGCAAATTGTATGCTTGCAAAAAGTTGGAAAAGAAACGCATGAAGAAGCGGCACGGGGAGAATATGGCGTTAACGGAAAAGCAAATCTTGCAAAAAATGAATTCCCGTTTTGTGGTAAGCTGATTGTATGCACGTATTCATGATTAGATGTGCATACGTGCCTATGCCCGTGTGCATTTTGTTAAGCATGTACCTTTTCAATACACCAGTTATTGACCGAAATCTGCTATCGGGTTCACCATAGGTTCCCCTTTTTATGTTCCTTAGCCCGGGTTCACTACCTCAAGAGTTTACATAAAAACTACTGAGGACCGGTTGCCAATACTTACGGGCTATTTGCGCTTTCTTGACAGTGCTGCGCTTGAGTTGGTTTTTCTCTTTCCACTTCCGCCGATGTAGGATGCTCAGCGAGATTGTTAATAGTTTTCTGTTTGATTTGATTCAAGATAACTGGGGGTTGGGAGTGTCAGACTCTGGGATCCGAGAAACACTCAGTTTATGATATGACACCATAATTGATATCGAAGTACTACGCATTACAGATGAACTGCCAACATTGAAGCTTACGGTATCATAAAGGAATTTTTCGGGTGGTGGTGGTGCAGTGG